CCGCTTGGGAGCGTGGCGGCACTCCAGCTGAGGGTTCGGATCCCACATACAGACCAGTTCCCGCTCACTGGCTGAGCGAGGTGCGGGCGCAACACCAAGGGTTGCGATACCGTTGCTGGTCCTGGTCCGGTACGGGGGCAACACTGAGGGTTGCGATCCGTTGCCGGACATGGAAAAAAACAAAAAAAAAAAAAAAAAAAAAAAAAAAAGTCCACCCCTGTCCACAGCATGTGCTGCAGGACACAAAAAGCACTTCTACTTCTTTATCTTAACCTCTGGCCTGCTACATCGCCACCCAGGTTTCTTAGTTAGAAACTGTGATGCTCAAGTTCACCACCAGATGTAGGTGCCATGGAAAAGCCACCTCTAGCCACCCATATAGCACAGGAAAGTGACACCTCGGTCGTTTGAGAACTCAAGTCACTACACTGTAGAGGAAATCATTAAAAGCAGTACTGGCTACATGTGCTTTTCTGAAGACTGGCTCTCAGGGTTACCCTTTTTTTCCAATTTTCCTTCTCCTCCACTGCTCTCACTCCCAACAGAGAAAGTTCATCTGGACCGAATACAGTACAATCATGAAAAGTAAGGATGTGCTATGTTAGAATGTGTCCTCTGGGCCGGCCCGGTGGCGCACTGCTACAGTGTGCCGCTTGGGAGCGTGGTGGCACTCCCGCTGAGGGTTCGGATCCCACATACAGACCAGTTCCCGCTCACTGGCTGAGCGAGGTGCGGGCGCAACACCGAGGGTTGCGATCCCGTTGCTGGTCCTGGTCCGGTACGGGCGCGACACTGAGGGTTGCAATCCGTTGCCGGACACGAAAAAAAGACAAAAAAAAAAAAGAATGTGTCCTCTACAGGTGGTTTCTGGAATGCTGGCAAAGATTTTTTTTTTTTATCTAAGTGGTAGTTTCATGATTGTTTCTATTTGCCATATTATTCATTAAAATGCACATATATTCTTTATGAAAAAAAAAAGAATGTGTCCTCTAAAAGTTCATATATTGGAAACTTAATCCCCACTGCAACAGTGCTTTAAGGGTCAGAAATCCAACTATGGTATTAGAAAGGTGGGGTCTTTGGGAGGTGATTGGAGTCCTCACAAATGGATTAATCCACTCATGGATTAATGGGTTAATGGTTTAATGAGTTGTCGGGGGGGTAGACTGGGTGCTTTATAGGGAGAGCAAATGAGCATGTTAAAATGCTCTTGCTCAGCCCTCGCCATGTGATATTCTGCATTCCATGGGATTCTGTAGAGTCCCCAAGAAGGCCCTCGCAAGGTGCACCCCTGGACCCTGGACTTCCTAGCCTCTAAAACTGTAAGATATAAATTCCATTCCTTTATAAATCACCCAGTTTCAGGCATTGTGTAATAAGCAACATAAAAGGACTAATACAGGATATGTCCAGAAAGCTTGGTGGGCAGAGCAGTAACAACTACTCAAAAAAAAAACCAGAAAGACATAGTCAAAAGTTGCATGCACAGACAAATAATGAAGAATAAGGCAGCCCCCTCCCCACCGAAGTGGCAGAGAATTAATGGCTGAAAGGCAGTTAGGTATGTACCACATGCTTGTCCAAAGGAACATCAACTCAACAGTACTCACAGAGTGACTATCACATGCTGGGTACACCGTGCTGGGAAACAAGAAGTCATGACATATACAGAATAACCATTTCAAGTAGAGCGAAAGCAGTGATTCCCAATGGTCCATCAACTAGAATTTCTAAAAAGCAACCTTGTGTTCTCTAAAGGACAGTGGCAGTTTAGTGCTGCCAGGGACAACTTAAAGGAATTAAAAGATGTAGGCCTACCTTCTGAAGCACCAACAGAAGGACAGTAGGAGGCTGCAGACCAGGGGTGTCTGGGACCTGACTTTACGTGGAAAATTCTAAAATCCTAAACTCTGTTCAATCCAAACCACACAAAAAGTTGATATCTCGCAATGACTCAAAAACTGATTGAACCTCGGGCCGGCCCGATGGCGCACTGCTACAGTGCACTGCTTGAGAGTGCGGCGGCGCTCCCGCCGAGGGTTCGGATCCTATATACAGACCGGTTCCCGCTCACTGGCTGAGCGAGGTGCGGGCGCAGCGCCGAGGGTTGCGACCCCGTTGCCAGTCCTGGTCCGGTACGGGC